TTCTGATCACAAACCCAAACTCTGGCTTAGATACGTAGACAACACCTTCATAATCTGGCCACATGGGAAAGAAAAACTGGACAACTTCCTCACACACCTCAACAGCCTACACCCCAAAATACAGTCCATCATGGAAACAGAAGCTAATAACCAACTTCCCTTCCTGGATGTCTTAGTCTACAAGAAATCCAATGGCTTTCTAGGACACACCATCTACCAGAAGAAAACACACACAAACCGCTATCTGCACACACTCTCATACCACCACCCAGCATAGATCAACTTCGTAGCCAAGACACTCATCTCCAGAACAAATCGCTTAGCTGACGAACAACACCTAAAAACCGAACTACACACTCTCACTAATATACTAATATCCAACGGATTCCAAAGAAATAAGATTACCAACCTAATCCAAAAAGAAACCCCACTAAAATCCAAGACAAGAACAAGAAAGCGGCAAAGCCCTCCTCCCATACATAAAAGGCACCACAGACAGAATCAGCAAGATCCTCCACAAACACAACATCAAGACAGCATTCTGCACAAACAGAAAAATATCCATCATCCTAAGAAACCCCAAAGACAAAATCGAGTTAGAAAATCAAGGAGTATATGAAATCCCATGTACCGCTTGCCCCACCACATACATCAGACAAACCAACAGAAGAATAAGTACACACATTGTAGAATACAAGAACTCAGTCAAAAAAGAGGAACCAACTTCTTTCCTGGTCCAATACCTTAAAGCCACAGGACATGAAATTGACTTTAAAAAGACCAGAACTATCGCCAAAATTGAACACTTTAATAACAGAATAATCAGAGAAGCCACCAAGATAGAAAAACGCCCACACAGCATGAATAAATGAGATGATATCTCCTGCCTACCAGCCATTTGGAAATCCACCTTTATTGACAAACGAGTCCCTAACACAAAGAATGACACCAGACCCACACTCACGAAAACCACACACGATGTCACCACCACACAGCCATGCAAAAAGCAAACCCAAACCCATACCGATGATGAGGACGACCACAAACCAGAAGCCAGACCACAGCTGCATCATTAGCCACTTTAAACCCCTCCAATCCATACATGAAGCAAACTGACACCCTCCATGAAGATGAGGCACGACCATGAACGCGAAGCCAAAAAATAGCAAGGCAGCCCAAAATCTTAAACCCCCCTGCAACTCAGACTAACCTGACCACAACCAAACAGAACACTCCCCCAGCCAATCAGAGCACAGCCAACCCCCCAACCAATCAGAGCACAGCCAACCCCCCAGCCAATCAGAGCACAGCCAGGCCCCTCACCAATCAGAACACACCTCCACCCAATCAGAACACAGCCAAGCTCCCACCCAATCAGTTCATACCCCCACTGACAGTTAAAAGGAAGAAACAGCTAAGACCACACATTGCTCCTCGAAGAACGAAGCTGAAAACACCAGCCTGAAGATGACGAATGGGACTTCGTCTAAACGTCGCCAAGACACTTCCAATTTTACATGGGAGAAAACCGGAACAACCAAAGACCTACATACAAACACCGGCGAAAACCTCAGAAAACATATATATACATACATACATACACTGTGTATATATATATATATACACACTGTATACATATATACATAATATATATATATATATACTGTATATATATATATATATACTGTATATATATATATATTGTGTATATATATATATATATATATATATATATATATATATATATATATATATATAGGTCTTTGGTTGTTCGGGTTTTCTCCCGCGTAAAATTGGAAGTGTCTTGGCGACGTTTCGACGAAGTCCCATTCGTCATCTTCAGGCTGGTGTTTTCAGCTTCGTGCTTCGAGCAGCAATGTGTGGTCTTAGCTGTTTCTTCCTTTTAACTGCCAGTGGGGGTATGAACTGATTGGGTGGGAGCTTGGCTGTGTTCTGATTGGGTGGAGGTGTGTTCTGATTGGTTAGGGGCGTGGCTGTGCTATGCTTCGAAGAACGAAGCTGAAAACACCAGCCTGAAGATGACGAATGGGACTTCGTCGAAACGTCGCCAAGACACTTCCAATTTTACGCGGGAGAAAACCCGAACAACCAAAGACCTACATACAAACACCCGCGAAAACCTCAGAAAACATATATATATATATATATATATATATATATATATATATATATATATATATATATAATAAAATTATAATAAAGGTAAAAAAGGATATATGCAGTGTTATCTTCATTTTAGATGTCAAAAGGGTCTCTCTGTCTCTCTCCCCCTCCCTCTCTCTTTCTGCCCTTGGTCTGCCAGTCCTCTTCCCCCAGTGTTTGTGTGTGTGTGTGTGTGTGAGAGAGAGAGAGAGAGAGAGAGAGAGAGAGAGAGGCACTTGCGCTTCCCCCCGCTCTTTCTTCTTTCTCTCTCACTCCCTCTCCTTCTTGCTCTCTCCTCTCCCTATCTTTCTCTTTCCTCTCCCCTTTCTTTCTCTCTCCCTCCCTCTCTCCTCTCCCTTTCTTTTTCTCTTTGCTCTCTTTTTCTCTCCATCTTTCTCTGTCTTTCTCTGCCCCTCTCTCTCCCTCTCTCCGATCTTCTGCTCACCTGGCAAGCTGGCTTCAAGCCATTCTCCAACAAGCTGACACACATTCTTATTGGGCTAGCTCAGGGGTTGACAACCTCGGCTCTTTTATGACTCATGGACTTCAACTCCCAGAATTCCTGAGTCAGCATAGCTGGGCTAGCTCTCTCCTGCCCTTCCTGCTTCCTGCAAAGACGCAGCAAAGGGAGGAGCCCCGCCCAATAACCTTTTCAGCTCATCGAACAGGGTGAGGCCACTCTTTTTTACACACACACACAGAGAGAGAGAGAGAGAGAGAGTAGAGAGAAGGGAAGCACAAGTGCCTCTCTCTGTCTCTCTCTGCAAATGGCAGAAGTGGCTGAGAGCCACAGGAGAAGGCTCAAAGAGCCACATGTGGCTTCAGAGCTGCAGGTTGCCAACCTGTGCCCTAATCTGTCAGCTAAGAAAAGGGAAGGAGAAAGAAATACAACCTCCAGAGCCTGGCTTATTTCTCCATTCTCAAAAGGAGGTACAAAGAGCTGCTTGAACATCGCGCTATGATTGGAGTCGGACTGATGTTATTTTCCCTATTGTGGTAGCAAGATCCTATTCTATTCTATTCTATTCTGTTGTTGTTGTTGTTAATTGTGAAGTCGTGTCCGACCCATCGCGACCCCATGGACAACGTTCCTCCAGGTCTTCCTGTCCTCTACCATCTTCTGGAGTCCATTTAAGTTCACACCTACTGCTTCAGTGACTCCATCCAGCCATCTCATTCTCTGTCGTCCCCTTCTTCTATTGCCCTCAATCTTTCCCAGCATTAGGCCCTTCTCCAATGAGTCCTTCCTTCTCATTAGGTGGCCAAAGTATTTGAGTTTCAACTTCAGGATCTGGCCTTCTAAAGAGCAGTCCTAGGGATTGATCTCTTCTAGGACTGACCGTTTTGAACGCCTTGCAGTCCAAGGGACTCGTAGGAGTCTTCTCCAGCACCATAGTTCAAAGGCCTCAATTCTTTGGCGCTCAGCCTTTCTTATGGTCCAACTTTCACAACCATACATTGCAACTGGGAAAACCATGGTACAGGAAGCAAAAATAGAAATAATAAACTAGAAATAGTAAACTTATAAATTATGAAAATTTGCAAGTTGGACCTTATTGTATGTTCCAGTCTATGCTGGTAGCAGTACTTTTAAATTTATTTATAAACTCTCTGGATGTACAATGAGATAGTGAAGATAATAAAATAAAAAATACTAGGATTTTACTAGTATAAAAAAGGTTTTGCTAGAAGCAAATGTAATTCAAGGTAAGAAAATGCAGAACGATTGTTATAATAGACATAGCCCAGAGTCATTTTAGATAGTTTGAAGGACAATTTTCAGCAAAGAAGTAAACCACATTACAGACCTTTATTATTATCATAACAATAACAACAACAACAACAATACCCCCTGCTCAGGCAGAAAACCCTATCCCATTTCAGACAAATGCCTGTCCAATCTCTTCTTAAAGACTTCCAGTGTTGGAGCATTCACCGCTTCTGAAGGCAGGTTGTTCCATTGATTAATTGTTCTAACTGTCAGGAAGTTTCTTAGTTCTAGGTTGCTTCTCTCTTTGGTTAGTTTCCATCCATTGCTTCTTGTCTTGCCTTCAAGTGTTTTGGAGAATAGCCTGACTCCCTCGTCTTTGTGGTAACCCCTGAGATATTGGAACACTACTATCATGTCCCCCCTCGCCCTTTTCTTCATTAAATTAGACATAACCAATTCCAGCAACCATTCCTTGTAAGTTTTAGCCTCCAGTCCCCTAATCACCTTTGTTGCGCTTATCTGTACTCTTTCTAAAGTCTCAACATCATGGTGGCCAAAACTGGATGCAGTATTCCAAGTGTGGCCTTATCAAGGCATTGTGAAGTGGTATTAACACTTCACCTGATCTTGATTCTATCCCTCTATAATTTATATAATTAATATAAAATATAAATTTAAACTAGCAAAAATAACTTAATTTGACAACTTAAATGGTATTAAAAATTGTAACCACATTTAACAGTAATTACATTTCACTCAATAAAGGTGTGTCAGTTAAGGACACTGAAAAATATGTTCAACTGTCTCTATTGCCAAGAACCAGACAGAGAAAGCAAGCTGAGGCACTTCCTGTTTATCTCCATTCAAGTTATACATTCTAAAATATCCATTTAATTAAAGCACACTGCACCCATTCAAGTAGGTCACTAGTTCATTTATTTGACACCTTAGGAGCATCTCCTACTATTTTAAACATTTGAAAGACATGTTGGCATGTAAATACTAATTACATTTTCAACTGTGTGCAGCAAAGGCAGGCAAGCAATGTAAGTTATCCTGAAGTGCCACCTCCCTTCCCTTTCTCTCCCCCTTCCACAAATCCTCATGGAACTAGAGCTCCACCTACCTGGCTTTTTAGGCATAACCATTCGAGTTGACGAATCTGCTTGCCATCCCTCATCAAGAACTCCTAAAACCATAATATAGTTCATTAGCTATAATTAGTGTCATATACATGCTTCAATATGAAAAATATTGGATGGGATTAATTTCCTGATTTGTTTTGATTTCTTGTTTTGTTATTCCTTGCTATATTTCCATTTCCTATAAAGTGAACTACCGTATTAAAGTTAGTTTTCTTTTTATTCAGCCTGTTATCCTTTAACAGTAATATCAGTATATTAAGCACAAACTTTAGAAAACTCATTTTTGCTTTTAAAATTATTTCATACTGGGCAGTTTTGTAGTCTTTATTAAAGAAATGAAACAATCCAGTAAAATATTTATACATCACCACATATCCTATAAATTGATAATCTTCCCAAAAAATCAACAAAACAAAAATGTAATTCTAAAAATATGCATAGATTTAGAAAAGCTATAATTCATTTTTGTTTACAAAACACAGTTGTAACAACTGAAAGTTTTGTAATACAATTCTAATAAAATCCTTGTTTGGCAACTGCCTCAGATACTGTTCACTTTTGCAACAGTAATGAAAAAGTAACTCTGACCAATCTTCCAATGACCTTCACAAATCTGTAAAGCAAAGGAAAGCTGAAGATCGCAAGCAGTTTCACTTAGTGACTGCTTTGCTTAATGACCTTAGCTTAACTGGTCTCAACTGTGGTTACTAAACAAGATTATTGATTTAAAATTTAACACGCAATTTCAAAGATACATAACAAATGATGCATAATATTAAGGAAAAATCATGACTATTATTAGACAAGGGATTTTTCAATCTAGGCTGCAAGATGATCTAAAGAAGTCATAAACCGTGGAGGAAAGTTACGATAACATAAACATCAGCTTCCCCCACTATCAAATCATATAGAGGAGTGAGAGAATTGGGTGTGTGAGCTACCAGTGTCTAAGTATATTGATACCAGCTCAATGTAGAGTATATGCAATGTTTATTTTCATCTCAGATATTTTCAGTACCTTTTACTGCTTCTTCTACAGGAAGTCCAACAAAGGCTGCAAAATCATCTGCACTTATGGAAGGATATGCCCGAGAGACTAATCCAAACGCTCGCCGCCTCGTTGCATCTATTAGAGAGGTAATTAACGCAAAGCTAGCCTATCAAGGATAGCAAAACACTTTGTGTTCTTAAATAAGTTTCTTCTGAGAATAATTGGAAATGTCCACATTTATATGGGAGATGATTGGTTAGATCATGTAAACAAGCAATGACCCTTTATATAGAAACAGAGTATCCTATCAAAATATATGAAAAATGTTTTTACTTCAACACTTGTTTTTAATGAACTATAATCAAAAACGTAAAAAATTAAGTACTGAATTCCAATTTATAGAGCATGTCAATCTTAACCAAATCCCACATTATTTCTTATGTCATCTCAAATTAAATAGTGATGGCAGCTTAATTTTGATCTATCACAAATATCGATCTATCGATATTTCAGCGATTCAAGCTGAAAAATGACAACATTTCTCCTGGGAACTGGAATCAGGGTTTTGGAAATGGAGGAGCTTGTCAAGATATATTTATCAATGAAGATGAAAATTTGTTAAGCATGGCTCCAAATCTGAATAGAATAATGATATCATGGTATTCATGGCAGACAAGTTTCTATTGGCTTGCTGAAAACATAAAAAGTATAGCTCAAATGTAAATTTTTTAACAAATATTCAATCTATCTCAACTTATATCATTAACATATGACTGGAAACTCTTTGTGTTAAAGAGAGTTTGGCAGAATAGAAGGCATGAACAAAAAGTAATTCAGAAACAATAATTGTTCTTGACGCACTTTTGGGTGTACTTTTTCCAAATTTCAATCCTTAATCTGACTATAACCATCTTCCTATTGATACTCTTCCCAAGAAATTTTCCCGCCCCCAAACTACCAATATAATAACTTTGGAGGAAAACTTATTATCACTGCTATTTTTAAATTAAACTTATATGCTACCCATCTCGCCAAAGGCAACTCTATTACAGTATACATTTACCCAGAAGCATATATTGAAACCATAACCTAGCTATTAGCAATTACCCCTTCTTAAACTGTGCATGCATCTTCACTCCACTCCACCCCACAACTTTCCTCTCCTTTCTATAACACATTTCCTACATCAAACAGCCTCTTTTCAGTGGCCTGGCTTGGCTAATTCCTGAAGGCAAGGCCCTTAAAATGTAACAGGAAAGGAAGCATGGGGCCACCGAAGCCATTGTTTCTATTTCGTTTCATGGTTAATAATATGCACAATTTTAACTAGGATATTTATACCTTTAAGTGCTTCCATAATTGGTTGAATGGATTCAGACCACTGATGTGCATCAATTGTTGTATATATTCCAGGGAAATCTCTTTGCCAGATTCGCTGTCCTACTGCCCAAATTGCACCAAGTTCAAGATTTGTCTACAAAGAAAGAATTGAGAATAAAGCTGTAGATGTTTGACAAAACAAAACAAATATGCCTTTAGTTATACAAAATAGTTTGGCACCTTCTCTCTAGGTCTGCTGCTATATCTAGGATTTAAATTCAGTTTTAATTTGAGAAAGGTATTTAAGGCATATTAATTTAGAGAAAATATAAGTAACCTGATATATTTCAGTTTTCTGAATTACAATTCCCATCAGTATAGGCATGCCCAATTGTTATAAATATTATATTATATTATTTTGCACATACCTAATATACTCCTTGGGATCTTATGATAATAATATAAAGTTGAGAAACCAATGTTTAATAACAAACATGGCAGTTCAGGATTCACAAGTGAGGCAATCATACTACCACAAGATTAAGTTCTACTACGGTAATCACAATTGGCACAGCCTATTGAATAGAGATATCAACAAATCTTGTTTTTTAAATTAAGAATCACCTCTGTTACGTCATTCATAACATTCATTGTCACATTCTGCATCTATTCTCTTTGTCCTCATCAAGGTAGTTGGCAGGATATCCTAAGATTATATTGCAGCTGGCTAAATCTAAAAAATGGGTAACTAAAAATAAAGAATAACTAAGTAAAGAAAAAATGAAGATAAAATATATTAAAAACTAAATTGAGCTGCTGAAGAGGGCTAAACATGCTGCTGCTTTGCTGCCTCATTTTTTTTTAAAAAGCCCTTTACTTTTATTTGGCAGCAGAGCTAATTTTTCTCATTAGCTGATATTTGGGCGGGTCCCCTACAGAGAATTTTATTTTGCAATCAATCTAGTGAAATATCAAGGCAAAATACAGTGATGTGCTACTGCAATCATTATTCATGGATATGATCCATGACAAGAGTAGATCCTGACATACATGCTAGTTTATGGGCTTTGTTTTAACTGTTTCCCCTTTGTTTTAAAGTACTTTGATCTGATTTTAATGGCATTTTGATCTAAGATTATAGTGCAAAAAACTCCTCAATCTACATATGCTGCAATATTTTGATTGCTGTTATTGACTAAATCATTTTTAAACCTCATTATTATTATTAATGTTAAACATATAGGCTACCTCACTGGACAATAAGTCTTGACACTTACAAATAAAAATGTTAAAAACGAGGAGCTTCCGGTGGTCAGCGACGATGATGGCGGCTACCTTGTAGCCGTCCTCCTGGGACGGCGTCAGATCTGCGGAGCACAGCGCGCATCAGCTGGCCCGCGGCTCGAAATCCCCTTCCCGGGCGAAGGGAAGGGGTAGAGACTACACGAATAGAGGTAGAACCTCTTAACCCCCCCTGGATTCTTTTTGGAGGGGGGTAGAAAGAGTGTTCCCTCGGAGTTCGTGCTTTCTCCGCCTCCCAGCTGTCTTTGTTTCTTCAGAAACAAAGTGAAATGCTGCTACCATCTCCACGCCTAAAGTTTTCTGGTGAGTGATTTTTAAAGCAGACAGAACTGTTTAAAGGATTTTACTTAGAGTTAAGAGTTGTATTTCTTTTTATTTCTTTTTTAGCTTATGCTGATTTTTTTTCCTTTTGTTTTTTTTCGGTGGAGAGTGAGAGTGAAAGTAAAATGGCGTTTTGAAAGTGCTTTTTTTTTCCTTTCCGGAAAGAAAGAACGGACTTAAATGAGCACAGTTTTTTTCTCTTTCAAGTTTCTTTTTTCCTTTTTCTTTTAAAACGCTTTGGAAGTTTTTTTTTTTTTTGCACTCTCCCTGGTCCTTTTTTTAATTTTAAGGATTTTAGTATCTTTTTTTTAAGAAGAAAGAAAGAGAGAATAAGACTTTTAAAAAAATGGCTTCAAAGAGACAACCAGCTTCTATAGTCTCTAAGGTGGTTTCTTCTCCTGTAATTGCAACTGTACAACAACAACTTAAAGTTACACCACCAGTGCTGCAATCTAAGGTTACACCTCCATCTTCTCCTCCCTTGCCAGCCTTGTCTGCACAAGATATTAAAGATATAATGGGAAATGCTGTAGCTCAAATCAGGGAGGAAATGAAGCAACTTCTTGAAAAGAGCAAGTCTGAAAGTAAAGAGGAAATGAAGGACCTTTTTAAACAGAACAAAGATCTTCTTGAACAGAATAAATCTGAAACTAAAGAGGAAATGAAGGAGCTTTTAGTGGAGAATAACATTATTCTGAGGGAAGACATAGTTACAGCTTTATCAGGATTGGCTTCTGTGGTCGTGAAGTTGGATTCCAGAGTGGAAGAAGTTGCAGAGAAAGTAGACCTCGAGTATAAATTTCAAGATATGGAAAAAAAGATGGAAACTTCACAAGAGGATATTTTTATGTCTCAGTATAGGCAAATGGAATATGCTTTGAGAATTAGGGGTCTTAAAGAAGACATGAATCAAGACCTGATGGAGATGGTGATGAATGATCTAGCTGTTGCTCTGAATAGGGATAAAGATGGATTACGTAGAGAAGTGGAAAAAATCTACACAGTTAATTCTTGGATTGTGAAACAAAAGAATTTGCCAAGAGATGTGGTGATTTACTTTTCAAAGAGGTCTCTGCGTAATAAGATTATACAAGCTTTTTATAATAAGAGGTTCCAGATTGCTGCCCAAGATGTCATCATTCTAAAGGAAATCCCATCTAAAATTTTAAGAAATAGAAAAGACTTTGCTTTTTTAACTAATGAACTTAAAACAAGATTGATGCCATTCAGATGGGAGATTCCGATGGGTATTGTTTTGAGCCATGCGGGGACACGTTACAGACTTAATACGGTTGCTAAAGCCAAAGAATTTTATAATACGGTCCTGGGAGCAGGCTCATCTCCATCTATGATTCAGAAAGCTCTGGGTGGCAAAGAGGTCGAACAGCAGTCTGAAGGTCTAGGTTTGATGGCTGCTGGAAAACCACAGGTGGAATGGCTACGCCAAACAGAGGTTAAAAAGCAGAGAATGACCCGCGCAGCACATAAACGTAAGGAAAAGGAACAACAGAAGAAAGAAGCTAAAGAATCTTCTCATGAGAGTGTTTCAATGCCGGTGGGAGGAGCAAGACCCAAGAGTTCTGCAACACATTCTTCAGTGGCAGATCTTCAGGCAGTTTTCTCCAGGTTCCTGGTTAAGGGAGATGGCAAAGTTCCTGACCTGGAATGTTAACGGCCTCAATTCCCCACAGAAAAGAAAGAAAATTTTTTATTATTTAAAGCAACATAATAATGATATTATTTGCTTACAGGAAACTCATATCTTACTTAAAGATCAAAAATATTTAGCTAATGCTCGCTTGGGATCTCATTTTGCATCTCCTGCCCCTGGGAAAAAAGGGGGTGTGGTTATTTATGTTAAGCAAAGTCTACCAGCCTGCCTGGTAGAATCAGATCCTCAAGGAAGATATGTTATGATTGAACTTGGTCTATATGGTAAGAAAATACTTATAGCGGGATTGTACGCACCAAATCAGCAACAGGAACAATTTTATAGATTGTTACATCAGAAAATAACTTCGCTGGACTATAGGTCTGTGATATTAATGGGAGATTGGAATGGTGTTTTAGATACAAAAAAGGACAAAAAAGGTTCTTCTACTTTCTTCAAACAGGCTAAATTACCTAAAGCCTTTTTTGACTTGAAAGAGGACTGGGAGTTGAGGGATTATTGGCGTGAACGTAACCAAGAGGAGAGAGATTTTACCTTCTTCTCAGATAGACACCAATCTTTTTCAAGGATTGATTTTTTTTTTATTACAACAGACCTATATAATAGGGTAAAGTATGTAAAAAATTTTCCTAGGTCACTGACAGATCATAGTCCACTTGGATGGAATTGGTTGTCGAAAAAGAGGAGAGGAGATCCTGGAGGGTGAATGAGAACTTATTTAAACAAGAAAAAAATGTTCAAAAATTAAAGGAGTGCTTAAAGGATTACTTTGCTTTAAATATGTATAAGGGTACATCAATATCAATGGTATGGAATGCAGGTAAAGCCTTCATGCATGGGATCTTGATAAAGATGAATAATGTTTATAGACAAAGGCAGATTCAGAAACGTAAAGAATTGGAAGATGAGATTAAACTAAAAGAGAAGTTTTTGATTTTAAATCCTTCAGATGAAAAGGTTAAAGAAGCTATAAAGCTGTTAAGAACACAATTTAATATGTTGATGGCTGATCAAGCCGCAACTAATCTAATGTTTATGAAACAAAATACATTTTGTAACGCTAATAAACCAGGGAGATGGTTGGCCTATCAATTAAGAAAGAAACAGAGACAGAGAATTATAGATAAAATAAATTATAATGGTAAATTAGTGTATCAGAAAGAGTTGATCAAGAAATCTTTTCTAGATTATTATCAGAAATTATATAAGAGTACTAATGTACAAACTTTAGATATAAATAATTATTTAAGTGAGGCTAACTTTCCTAAACTAACAGAAGATCAGAAACAAGAAATTAATGGTTTAATTACTAATGAGGAAATTGTGACAGTTATTAAGCAATTAAAATTAGGTAAAGCGCCGGGTACGGATGGTTTGACATCCATTTACTATAAAACCTTAGTAGAAGAGATGACTCAATCTTTATGTGAGCTTTTTAATAATATATTACAGGGTTCAGAGATTCCTCCGTCATGGCGCAGTGCTTTTATATCCTTAATTCCAAAAGAGGATCAAGATCTTACCTTACCAAAGAATTATAGGCCTATATCTCTCTTAAATGTGGATTATAAAATTTTTGCAAAAATTTTAGCTAATAGGTTTATGAGGGTTTTGCAGCAGCTTATACATAAGGATCAATCGGGTTTTATAACCGGAAGGTATATGAAAAATAATGTTAGACAAATTATTAACTTATTAGAATATTTAGATAAGAATAACCAAATCTCTGCAGGGCTGATATTTTTAGATGCTGAAAAAGCCTTTGACCAACTGAATTGGCAGTTTATGTTAAGATTAATTGAGGAGATGAATTTTGGAGAAAAAATATCACAAGCTCTAGGTGCTATATATCAAAAACAAACGGCACAACTTATTGTCAATGGGGGTTTGTCAGAGGTTTTTACAATAGAAAAAGGTACAAGACAGGAATGTCCATTGTCACCGTTATTGTTTGTCTTAACATTGGAAATTTTGTTGATTAAAATTCGAGAGTCGCAGGAAATAAAAGGAATAGAAGTTAACAAAAAAGAATATAAGTTAAGAGCTTTTGCAGATGACTTGGTGGTTACTCTGTCTCAACCTACTTATTCTGTAGTAAAGTTACTACAACTGATTCATCAATATGGATGTGTTTCGGGTTTTAAAATTAATAATAATAAGACTAAAATATTACCTAAAAACATGACTGACCGGGACAAGCAGATTTTGGTTAATTTAACAGATTTTGAAGTTGTTGATAAGGTAAAATATTTGGGGGTTACTTTATCTGTTTCTAATGTAAAATTGTACAAGAATAATTATGAAAAGTTGTGGATCAGGGTACAGAAAGATTTGAAGAATTGGGATAAGTTACAGCTATCTCTTATGGGTAGAATTGCAGTGATTAAAATGAATGTCCTACCAAAATTTCTTTTTTTGTTTCAAATGCTACCTATTTTAAAGAATGAGCTTAACTTAAATGAATGGCAGAAAGGCATTAATAAATTTATTTGGGCAGGGAAAAAACCAAGGGTAAAGCTTAAAATTATGCAAGATTTTCGTGAGAGGGGTGGACTCAAGGTGCCGAATTTGAAATTATATTATGATGCTGTGGCCTTAACATTGATTAGTGATTGGGTAAACTTAACAAATGTAGAAATACTCCATCTGGAGGGTTGGGATTTACTTTTTGGATGGCATGCCTACTTAATTTTTAATAAAAAAGTGGATCGAGTTTTTAAATCACATATTATAAGGATCTCTTTACTTCGGGTTTGGAGGAAGTATTATAAGAGTGATTTTAAAATACCTTTATGGGCTATACCTTGGCATGCGATAGAGGGGATAAGGAGAGGAGTTAAAATGGATAGGGTTTCTTACACACAATTACTTAGATGGGATGGTCAAAATTGGCAGTTAAAATCTTTGGAAGATTTAGTACATGAAAATATTACCTATTCATGGTTTCAATATAGACAAATAGAGGATAGATGGAAGATGGATTGTAATATGGGCTGGCTTAGAGAAGATGAAAATCTTTTTAAACAAGTAAAGGATCAAAGACAAACTCACATTAAGAGGGTTTACGGGGTTCTAGTGGAATTGGATTCAGAATCTGAATTAATCAAAGACTGTATGATTAAATGGGCACAAAATTTTGGTGAACCAATCCCACTGGATACCTGGGAAATTATCTGGGTGAGGAATGTTAAATTTACACAAGCCCAGAACTTAAGGGAGAATTTTTATAAAATGTTTTATAGATGGCACCTTGATCCACAAAAAATGTCTCTTATGTATCCTGATTTACAGCCTAAATGTTGGAGATGTGGCTGTTTGGACGCCACCTATTATCATATTTGGTGGTCGTGCAAAAATATAAAAGCTTTTTGGATTAAGATATGGTGGAATATTCAAAGAATTTTTAGAAGGAGGGTAAAATTTACTCCGCAATTATTTTTGTTAGGTATTGTTACTGATTGTGATGCTAAGGAGGTTATATTGATGTTAAATTTGATTACAGCCGCAAGGCTGTTAGTAGGGCAATATTGGAAGAAGGAATCTTTGCCTACCTTGCAAGAGTGGTTTTTCAAAGTTTCCTATCTGGCGGAAATGGCAAAGATTTCGGCTTTTTTAAAGGAGCAATCGCAAGAGAAATTTTTTGTTGTATGGGAAAAATGGATAAATTTTATACAACATAAATTGGATATAAAAAAATATCATTTAGCTTTTTTAAAACTTGTATATAATTTTTGATATTTTATGGATTGTTTTCTCTTTTTTTCTTTTTTTTCTTTTTCCTATTTTTTTTCCTCTTTCTTTCTTTCTTTCTTCTTTTTTTTCCCTTTTAAGTATTTTTTCTTTTTAATGTTTATGTCACTTATATTTTATTATTAATTATTTTATAAGTTGTTAAAACTTGTTCAGGTTTCTTAAAATTTTAATTAAGCCTATATTCAGCTCTGAGAAGCTCGGGGGGGGATGGAGGGGGTGGTTTGGGAGGGGTTGGGTGAGGGTTGTTTTGTTTTTTTTTTGTTTTTTATTGTTCTTTTTTTGTTATTTGTAAAAACTTTTAAAAATTCTCAATAAAAAAAAACGAAACATGAAGACATGAAGAATAAAAGAAAGGCAAGAATGACAAAAAAAAAAACAAAACCAGATGGGTATAAAAAGGAACAAATGTACACCATCCAAAGGGGTTTCACTCATCCTCATCAAAGACCTGGGTAAAGAGCTAGGTTTTCAAAGCCCTTCCTAACATCAGCCAAGTCAGAACTGTACAGATCTCAGGAGGAATCTCATTTCAGAGGGACATTTCTGGGATCCTGATACATGGCATTGTTTAATTGAAGAAACTCAAAGGATTAAATTGGCCAGCAGATACTGTGGGATCCTATGGTCCCTTAAGTAGTCAGGCTCCATGCCATGTCAGGCTTTATAGGTAATGACCAAAACCTTGAATTGTATCTGGAAGCAAACTAAGAACAAGTCAGTTTGCAAAACAGAGGTGTTACATGGTTACATGTAACCAAAGTATGCCCATCACTGCCTGTGCTACTATATTCTAGACCAGCTGAAGCTTCCGGGTAGACTTCAAGGACAGTTCCACAAAGAATGTGGCACAGTAGGCAAGCCATGAGATGACCAGAGCATGAGTGACTGTCTGAAGCCCTCCCATCTAGGAAACAGCACAACTGGTGCGCCTGTGCAAAGGCCTTCTTGGCCATAGCTGATACTCACAGCCCAGGAAGACCTAGATTGCACAAAACCCTGGAGTCAGTAAATGTAACTCCATCAAAGGTCAGAGATGGAATATTCCCAGATCTTAGCATCCCAAACATCCACTGCCATTTGGTCTTGCTAGTATTGACTTAGAGACAGTTGCTCCCCATTCAAACCCACATAGCCTCCAGGTACTTGGTCCATCTATAGTCAAAATATACAGTTAAGTATCATCAGTATGCTGAACCCTAAACCAACAGATGACCTCACCCAATGGTTTCATGTAGATGTTGAAAAGGAAGAGAGAATAGAATCCTGCAATACCCCATAAAGCAGGATTTGGGAGCAAAAATTTTCCCCCAACAATGATTAGAACCGGTCCTGAAGAAAAGAAGGCAATCACTGTAAAACTCTGCTCTGCCTCTGACCCACAGAATTGGCTTAAAATGGTACCTCAGTTGATTGTATCAAAAGACAGAGATTAAGGAACACAATGATGGGTGCACCACCTCTATCCCAATTCTATCACAAGTGCAGCCAAAACTGTCTCAGCACTGGCCTGAAAACAGACTGGAGTATGTCTAGAACAGTGTTTCTTAACCTTGGCAACTGTAAAATTTCAACTTCCAGAACTGAATGTAACTGGGGAAATTCTGGGATTTGGGAGTCCATACATCTTAAATTTGACAAGATTGAGAAACACTAGTCAAAATAATGCACTTCTTCCATGGTTCTTATCAGCTGCAGACCCACCACCTTCTCAACCATCTTTCCCTCCATTTTTAAAAAGTACAGCTCAGTATTCAAAACTATTAAGACAGCTGAACTACAATTCTTAAAAACATATTATAAACATTTGAATAAAAATGGAAAAACAATAGTGTTCCCAGATATTGTTTTTTCTTTTGATAGCATTGAAAAATACTTACAGACTTAATACCAGTAGGAATTCTCTTCCAGAGATAACGGGCATTATTCCTAATAAAAATAAGCCAGTGATATGGACATTTAAAAAAATTAAATCTATTTAATAATGGTTATTTACTAGAAGTTTCCGGCTACATCCTTCTGAAAACATATCAATATACACTGCACATACATTTTTAAGGCAAAAGAATACAAATTTCATACTGTTTGTTTGTATCTATCATGTAGAACAGGGGTTCCCAACAGGGGGTGTGAAAACTTGGGTTTTCAAAATTATAGTGTATATGCATAATTCGTTGCTGTTATTTCAAACTTTTGTAAAGGGTGCGAGAATATATCAGATGCGTTCTAGGGGTGTGGGGTATAGAAAAGGTTGGCAGCCGCTGATATAGAACATAGGGTGGAAAGGAATTTTGGAAGTCTTCTAATCCAACCCTTTGACAAGTGCTAGAATCTTCAGACCATCCCAGAAAAAAACATGTTCAATTTTGAAAATCTCCAGCGATGGAGCACCCAGTACTTCAACAGGCAGGATGTTCCACAACCATAATTTATAACTTCTGTTTTTCTGTTAACCCTAGGGTTTAAGCTACATATTTCCATTTTACAATAAGTATTTATCTTGTGCCTTACATTCTTACTGCTTTGATATTCATGTTCAAAATTCTTGTATTCTGTCTTATATGTGGCATTGTAATACTGTCATCTAAGAACTCCAAAATAGCAAAAAAAAAAAAAAAAAAAAGCTTCCCAAATAGTTGCCGAGAATAACTGATTTGAGTTAAGCAAGTAATTATTTACTTGTAAATTTGTGGAAACATGTTGTTCAAATAAAGGGAAAGATACTCACCTTAGAGAAATACATTCCAATCTATGAAGTAATTTGCTTATTTTAATTGTGATGCTTCTGACACAAATAAACAAGTAATATGCTTTTCAATGATACCTAAAAACAGTATGAGCAAATTCAACATCCTACTTGTGCTAACTAGCAAAGATTTGGTTTATTAAAAATCAACAAAAGTGCAGCATACTTCACATATAGCTACATCACATGCTCTTGCTTTTACAACGCATTGATTTGGAATGCTAAGTATTCTTTTTGCCAATTAACGTAAATTCCTCTAATTCTAAAAACATTACCTGAATTGTGTCAATATGCCTATATATGTCTAATACAGACATGTCAAGCTCACGTCATGTGACGTCGCACAATGTATCAGAGCTTTTTCTCCATTGCCGGCAATGGGGTGGGCGCGGTTTTGGGATGACGCATCCGGGCCGGCAGTTTGACACCCCTGGTCTAATAGGTCCAGACCTATTATTAAAACACATTACTTACATATCATTATGCAGAAGATACAAAGCCAGGAGTTGAGCATAAACAGGTGAGGTGGTTATTCCTCCAGGGGCCTTAAAGAAATCAACATAAAATTATATTGTGTCCTATACAAAGCAGTATACAGCTGAGGACAAAGAACACTTGTAAAAACCAATTCTTTTCCCCTGAAAAGAAGTTTTGGGCAATCACCTGCTTTCCAAAAGTGCATGATACAGCCCATCCTCATTTCTGTGCAGTAAGAAAACATATTTCAATATTTTCAAAACTCTGGTCAAAATACATCACTAAAGTTTTTACTTCATTCAGATATGACATTCCTTCATCTTACTTTCAAACTCAATTTGAAGGACAACCAATTTGCTTTAGGACCTACCCATGCCTTTTACAAGATTTATAATTGTCTAATTATTCTGATTAACAAAGGTTGATAAAGAAAATTAAAAGAATATTAATGTGTTGAAATATACGGACTTCAACCCGGCAAAGGAGAATAAGGCATGTACATTTATGAGAAAGTGGTTATTCACTACATTATTTGCCTCAGCTAATGAAAGGCAAAGATTTCAAGGAGCTAATAAAATAGTCTTAAAATTACTGAGACATTAAGAGATAGATTACAATTTTTACCAGTGGACAATTACAACACAAATAGTATTGTTTGGAATCCCTATTTTATATAACATTCCAACAGATTTAAGCTGACTTATTTTGACCAGGCCTAGTATTTAAAGCAAAATTTGTAGTAACTATTTTGGTTGTAGAAACTATGCAGTTACTATTTGTAGTATTTGTAATAACTATGAATTTGTCCTTTTCTTTAATGCAGTTCATACAGGTAGACCACATTTTACGATGGCAACTGGGACCAGGATTACGAGTCATAATATATGACATCATGTATCATATCACTTAGTGAAAGAAATTCTGGTTGCTGTTGTAACCCCAGAACTGTGTGGGTTATTAAGCAGGAAGAGGCGGAGTGTGTGTGCACGCACATGCAGGTGCGAGGGACCAGGGGTGGGTCCTGGGAAATGTGAGCCATCCAGCCAGAGCTACACTTGGAAGTGCAGGGACCCTGGATGGGCAAGGAAGTGGTATGGATGGCATTTGCTATGAAGGTGAGCTGCCATGGAGAATGGGGTCCCTGGGATCTCATACCCTGTAGTGGGGCTTCTTGGGAGAAAAAGTGGCGGAAGTGATTTGCAGGACTGACTTGTAACTTTCCCTGGAGGCTTCCCCAATGACTTTACTTATGGGAAGCTGGCAAAGAAAATTGCAAATGGTGATATGATCACAGGGATGCTGTGACAGCCACAACTTTTCAGACCAAGTCCCTTGTTTTAATTTTAAACAAATGGTTATAACTTGAGGACTACCTGTACACAGGCATTATAAAGTCAATTATGTTTAATGAAAGAAGAAACAGGCTGCAAATTTCTGAACATTTAACTGAGGGCAAGTCTAATTTCCATAACTAATTTTAATGTTGATATTATTTAAGTTGTATGCCACCTAATTCTCAACAACTCTGGGCAGCTCACAACCAAGAAAGAAATTGGAATAAAATCAATAGGACACAAAGATAAAATGCAAAGGATTGTGTGCTATTTTGAGTGTGCAATGTTTCTGAAAAATCTATTGCTACCCTCCAAATTTAGCAGAACATTTCCAAGGCTCTCTAAGTGTGTGAAATCACAATTACAGAATTGAACTTTTCGACATTTTCAATGCCCCAGAGTGTTTCCGTTTGCTATATTGTACGGAGAAGAATTGCAGCCAAGACATCAACTAACCAACAAGGTTAGTTGAGCTTCCCAGACCTGCCTCCTCTCCAGCCAGCATTCGTTGAAGTGGTTGAGACTGGCGGGAGGAGCATGTGCCTGGTAACTCGCGCGCAGGCCCAGCGTTCCTGCTCCCTCACCTTCGCCCCACGTTTCCATGGACGCCGCCCCCGGCCTTCCCCCCCCCCTTCTTTACCTCCAGTTCCTGAGTCTCACACTGCTCCAGCAGCTTTCGGTAACTGAAGGCGCCGCTCGTCGCCGTCATCACTGCCACTGGCATCTTGGCGCCTCGCGCCCGCTTCGAAACAACTCTTGGCAGACGCTGGCCTAACAAGCGGCGAAATGGAAACTTCCTGGAGGCGGGCAAGCATTCACCCCTCCTATTTCCACTTCCGGCCCCGAAAATAAACATCAGGCGCGTCTTCGCTGGATTCTGCCCTCAGTGAGCATGTCGAACCTGCGTTTGTAAAAACGAATAGATATATGCAGATATGGAAGTTAGAGTGATACATTGACTGAACTTCCGGTTTCAATGGATTCTTCTCCACTCCCTTTGATTAGGAAAATGAGAAAGCGTCTTGAAGCATTCCATCAAAATTCCGCGGACAACTATCATGACGGTGATTATGTGCAAAATATTAACATCCAAAGCTATCCCTAAATATATACGCGAAAAGGTCAGGGGGTTTTTATTTAGTTTTTCAAACCAGAAATAGAATAGAATAGAGTCTGAAGGGACCTTGGATGTCTTCTAGTCAAGCCCCCCCCCCCCCCCTTCAAGCAGGAGAACCTATACCAGGGGTCGGCAACCTTAAACACTCTAAGAGCCACTTGGACCTGTTTCTTACAGAAAAGAAAACACTGGGAGCCACAAAACCCTTTTGACATCTGCATATATCCTTTTTTTAATTTTATGCTATGTATAAAAAAACTATAGTGTGCTGCATTTATGAAATCAATGAACTGCTACAAAGAAAACAAATTTTTATGCAGGAGAAAGAGGGGAAGAAAATCTTTCTCCTTCATCCCAACATGTGAAAACAGTTTTAGTAGCTTATCTACCATCTTTAAATACAGCATAATTATCCCCATACCTCATCTCTTAATTTTAAAAAAATGAAAAATATTTCATTAAATGTTCTTTACTAAAAGTCCAGTAAGGACAACATATATTCATATTCCCTCTCTCTCTTTCCTCTCTCCCTCTCTCTCTGTCTTTCCTCTCTCTCTGTTTCTCTCTTTCCTCTCCCTCTCTCCCTTGATGCGTCTCTACCACCAATGTAAGCCCTGCATGCGGGGAAAACCCAGCACTAGGGTTTACCTCTTCTGGGCAATGGGAGAGGAGCGGGCCGATCGCCTTCCCAGCAGCCGGGACTCCAGTGCGCCTTCCTGGCCAGTGGGGCCAACGTTAGCGCCGGCTGGGGATTGCCATTTGATCTTCTCACTGCAGAGTTTGTCTCCCAGCTGATATCTGGGTAGTTGAAGTCTGCTATTACTACTGTGATATGCTTCCTACATACATTTGTTAAATGGTTGGCAAAGAGTCCATCTATGTCTTCTGATTGGTTGGTTGGCCTGTAATATACACCTATGGCAATATCACCTTTTTTTCCCCTTTTATATTGACCCATATAGATTCTGGAGGACTTTTATCTTTGATATGTGCATTTCTCTACAGAGAAATGTCTTGTATTCTCTTTCATATAGTGCAACTCCTCCTCTCTCTTGTAGTTCTGTTTCTTTTGAACAATTTGTATCCATCCATCAATCCATTCCAGTCATGGGTTTCATCCTATCAGGTTTCTGTAATGCCAATTATGTCATACCCACTGTGTTGGACCAGTCATTTAGCCTAAGAACATTTAGCACTTAAAGGGTTAAATGCTGTTTTCTTAAGAGATGGCTTATGGGTAATGTAGTTTAATCATTTAATCCTATAGTTTCATCTCTCTGCATGGGTTCCAACCGCATGGCTGGAAGTTCCATGCCAAAACATGTGACTTGTACACAGAAGAGGGAAAATCCATTGTTCATTTACCTGTGAAATGAGTCCATATTACTGCCTATATTCTGGAAGAACTTCTACATAAACATGAGTTAATGTTTGAGGATACCTAGAATAAAAGTAACCTTTGTTTTGACTTATTCCACCGAGTTATCTATCTGTCTCAGCGGAACCTAGCAGTTTATTCTGCGTGAGGCAGAATACCCACACTTGTGTACTATTGCTTCTAGTTTACAATGTTTGTTCCCCAAGCTTTGAGCATTTGTATATAAACATTTAAGACTTTTATGTCTGTCTATGGGTCTGTTTCCTGGATTTCCTGATTGTTGTTTGTTTTTTTCTTTTTTCTCATCACTCCCTACCATTTTGTTTGATTTGTTTTCTTGAGATTTATGATTGGTTTTTTGTTCTAGAGATTCTAATGATTGGTCACTTTCCCCCCTTAATTTTAGTTTAAAGCCCTTCTAATGAGCTGGGCCAGTCTTTTTCCGAGTACATTTTTCCTTGTTTTCGTGAAGTGCAGCCCATTCCCTTGCCAAGAGTCCTTCGCATAGGAAATGCAGTCCATCGTCCAGGAAACCAAAGTTTTCTTGGTGACACCACCCCTTTAGCCAATGATTTATTTCTAGAATATTTTTCCCCTCAATTTTGCTTCAGGAAGCATATGGCTCACCGAAATTGCACTCCTAATATTGACTGTCGTTAATAATGATGACAAAATACAATTGCAATATACAATTGTCCCCAAAAACAAAGCCGTTATCAGTATTTTAAAATGTTCTGTCACTCAGTTATATGAGTAATAGAACATGTGTCTTCCTGGACGATGTCTGCACTGGTGCCTGATTTTAATACACAATTCTGCCCCAAGGACTGAAAGACCTGTTGATAATACTCCTTAGTTATTCAGGCTACAGTCCTCCTTAGGAGGTTGTAAACCCTGTTAATTTTAATAGGATTTATATGGTAGTATTCAATTACTTGAACAGCCAATGTAGGACATTCTAACAGTATTATACCGGTGTGGTCGCTCACTTTCTTTTGCCATCTAATGGTAAGCTCCAGAAGTGCACTGTTTCCAACTGGAAAAAAAATACTGGCAGCTTCTTGCTCTTTTCTAAATTATTTATTTATCTATAAAAATCTATACACTCTCCAACAAAGTGCATTGCTTCCATCTTAGTAGAAATGGCAGTCAAAAGGAACACCTTGCCTAGAACAACACTAATCATTTAGAACTTCAGGCTAAAGTAAAATTGAAAACTGGTTTATGGCCTACATTTATGGCTCAGGGCCAGGCTATTTGTGAGACCGCCTACTACCTCATAGTTCCCTACGTCCGGTTAGATCCCACAGGCTGGGCCTCCTTCAGGCCCCGTCGGCCAAGCAGTGCCATTTGGCGGGGCTGCGGAGGAGGGCCTTCTCTGTGATGGTGCCCATGCTTTGGAATCAGCTCCCCCCGGAGATTAGGACCGCTCCCACCCTGTTGGTCTTCTGTAAGCTACTTAAGACCTGGCTTTTCCGGCAAGCCTGGGGTTTATATTGTATATTGTTGTTTTGTTATGTTTTATGTGTTTTTTATTGTTAGCTGCCCAGAGTCCTTCGGGAGTGGGGCGGCTTATAAATTTTAAAAATAAAATAAATAAAATTTGACTCAGAACCTCGTAATTAATAGTTCACTCATGCCGTGAGCCAGTCATTCCAGATATTGTTCAATATAAAAAATTTCAAAATCTTATCTTTTCTTCACTTAGCCCAACCCAGCTGTCAGAATCCAATTATATTTCATTTCTATCTACCTACTCTGATAAAAACCAATTCTTACTCTATTCTGGATTCTGTCATACTACGAAAGGGAGGAGGGTAAGCATGGGGGTTTTATGACTCTCACTCCCTTCATTAACTACAAAGTATTAATTCAAGAGAACTAACCATAACAATGTGGCCATCACCTTTCATCTTACTCTCTCTGGAGTTCTCCCCTTTGCCGGCAGTGAGGAAAAAGGGGTGGGAAATGCAATGCCTGGGATCTGGGAAAAGAGAGGATGAGTGATCATGCCGACGGAGCGGACTGATGGACTGAATCGCCCGGAAGAACTGTGGGGTGGGGGCTGCTTGGGAACACTTTAAAACATTGAATGCTGGGAGAGGATTCCCCAGATCCTGTCTAGCATGCCTGCAATCAGTTTCTCTTAATAAAGATCCCTGTTGGAAGAGACGTTCCAAGAGTTCTGTCTTTTTAAGATGTAAATTGAGGTGGGTCCTTACATTAGACAGGATCTGCAAAATTAGTCCACTGGAAGGGAGAAACTTGCTGGGGGACTTTGCAAAAAATACCATGTCAGATGACGGAGCAGGGAAGGGAGAAAGCCCCGCAGAGAGGGAGCCACTGCCCTGACTGAAAACCTGCCAGATGTCAGAATCTGAGAGGTCAGATTCCTCAGGAGAAGATGTGGTGGAGACATGTAACCACAAACCTCAGTGGTCAATGGGTGTTGGAAAGAAAGGTGAGTGGGAAAAGAAATCAAGAAAGGTGACTCTGAGATGGGAGGGGCAACCAACCAGAATGGAACCAGGAGATGGGAAAATCCCTGTACGCGAGCGACAAGGAAGGAAGCTGGGCACCACATTCAAGGTGGATCGTAGAGAAAGCTATCGACTTGAGGAAGATAACCCTCAGCTCCCTAGGAGAGAAGAATTCTGAGCCCCGCGGCCGCACCAGCTCCTGGTGCCACAACTGGGGGGACACTGAGGGGGAATTGGAACCTGCAGCCCTGGGAATGTCCGCTGATCCAGTAGTCCCCACTCCCCGCTGAACTGCAGGTGGCGATCTGGATGGAAGACAATACCACCGACAACGAAGGCACCGATCCATTCAAAAACTCCCGCCACTGGATACGAGATTCCAGGGTGAGCCGACACGCTTGGGGTTTTTCCTAACCCAAGTCCTCAGCTATATGGAGGAATACGGGTGACACATCCCTGCGACAAAGCCCGTATCCGGATCGTGCAATCTGCTCTGGATGGGCTGGCCACAGATTGGGTGGTGAATTTGCATGAATCCAATGCCCCAGAGCTTAACTGGGGCATTGGATTAGTTGAAGCTTAACAGACTGGAAACAGTTGAAGCTTAACAGACTTCAACTGTTTCATGTCCTCTCTGAGAAGGCGATTTGAGGACCCCCTGGCTGATCCCAAAGCCCGTGAAAGGATCAAAACGATGAAGCAAGGCAAACGCTCGGTAGCCAAACATACGCAAGAACTGGCCGGAAGACATCCTCCTTAGCCATTTCAAAGATGGCCTAAATTACGACCTATATGATGCTTGCCTGCCCCGAGGGGACGAATGGTAGCAGAGATCAACCTAGTGAAGCAGAGATCAACCTAGTG